ATATTTCGAACTGTTTCAAGTCTTGAAATTAATTTTAGACTGAACAAATTCTAAATTTTAATTTTCTGTATTCTATCCCGAGAATGACGTTTCTGACAGTGTCAACTCCCGAGCTCATATTGTACCCATCTACTATAGGTATTTATCTTGCGACTTTAACCTAACTGTCTAGCAATTAAGGATTTTTTTCTTCTTTTAAAATGCCAGTGCGTTTTTTTTTATACGCCGCTAACATCGTGCCGTGCTTAGAGATTCTTGAAATTAAGATTCTCAAACTATACTTGTACTGAAAATTATTCCGCCTTAAAATACGGCGAGAATTTATCGATCGAATTTACTTGATCGAAACATGAACTTAACATGAAATTTACTATAGAATTTAGGAATACATATATTAATTCCATAAATCCTCCATTCACAATATAACATAATATTTTCTAAGAAAATCCTTGGCTTAAAAATACATGAATTGTATTATTTAAGGTCTGGAATTTTCTCAGTCATTACAATTATTACTATAATTATTATTATTATTATTATTATTATTACTACTATTATTACTACTATTATTGCTGCTATTATTGCTGCTATATTTGTTGCTATTATTGCTGCTATTATTACTACCACTACTATTATTACTACTATTATTACTACTATTATTACCAGCTACTATTATTAGCAGCTACTATTATTACTACTATTATTATTACTATTGTTACTAGCTACTATTATTGCTAGCAACTATTATTACTAGCTACCATTATTACTACTATTGTTACTAACTACTATTATTACTAGCTACTAATAGTAGCTACTATTACTAGCTACTATTATTACTACTATTACTATTACTAGCTACTATTATTACTCATACTATTACTAGCTACTTTTATTACTACTATTATTATTACTACTATTATTAGCTACTATTACTAACTACTATTATTACTACTATTATAACTACTATTATTACTCGCTACTATTATTAGTACTACTTTCCTCTTATGCCAATTAGTTTGAATTACAACTCAAACTTTTTACTATATTTTTTTCTCTTTGAAAAACTCAAATTCAATTTTTTTCTTACAGTTTTTCCTCTCAAATGGAGCTTTTTATTTAATTTCTTTTTCTGTCAGAAAAGATGAACTGAAGAAGAAAGCACTTTGTTAAAAGCCTAAAAGCTGCGGTGACAATTTGTAAATAAGTTGTGAAATTGTCACCTATTTTTCTATTAATTTATCAAGCCAAATTAGACTGACAAGTGGCAAGAAAAGAGATTAGAATAAAAGAGACTGAATTTAGCACTTCTCTTACAGCCATTGCAGAATGTGATTAAACTATGTAATAAACCAAGAAATGGTATCCATGTTAGGTGCATGAAAAATAATTGGCATTCTTCTTTCTTGCTCAAAACATATTTAACCCAAAAAATTAATGCAAACAATGAGAATTTTTAAAAATTCAATTAACTCGGAGTGCCTCCACATGTGGGCGTTTATTAAAGCTTCATGAAAATGGAAAATGTTTCTTCCAAGCATGTCCCTATTTGTTTCTCAACAATGTAGCACAAAAAATTTAATTTAATTTTTTGGAGAAAAGATGTTGTATTAAAAACTGAAGTACCCGTGATGATTAATTCGAACCAACGAAACAAACAAAGTAACAGTTAAAATGCATCTCTTCTTGGTGCTTATTTATTACAATATAAATCAACATTTACCACGACAACTTAAAAAAAAAACTAAAAACAAAAAGAAAAGTGTCCCCATTTTATTGTCCTACCAGCTGATACAATTGCAGGTAAAGAAAAAAAAAATTTGAAAAAAAAAGAAAGAAAGAAAGGAAGTAAGAAACAAATTAGGCATGGGCATATATAAGTTTCTGGCGTATGAATATGATTTTGGATCTCTGCGAACTGTTTATTTTTTTCATTCTTTTTGTTTTGATTATGTTTTCTTTTAGAAATGTTTTATTTTGACGCTAGAGAACACGCTTACATTTTGCATCATTGGATTTAATCTTTTTGCTAGCTAAGCGTTTGTCCAGTCATGTCTTCTTTCCTTTGTTGGGACCTTTTGTAAGAGATGACACTTCATTTCTTCTAATGTGTGAATTATTATTATTATTATTATTATTATTATTATTATTATTATTATTATTATTATTATTCCAGGTAGTAAAGAAAACGATTATTGTTGTGTTTTGTGAAATTAAATAGTCTAGTTCTTTGTTAGAACCTATATTGCAACATCCAACCATCCGTTGTTCTTTTCAGAGGTATGAACAATGGTCACATTTTTTATGTTAAAAATTATATTTCCGTTTTCTACTCCATTGACATGTATGAGAAGTAAACAGAAATTACTAATATTACACTCATACAAAAATAATATTACACCCATTCGTCATCTGATTATTCAAGTGACGAGACAAATATGATATTCCAACGAGTTAATTCTTTGCAACTTTCTTTTGTATCAGACGAGTTTACTCCAGATGTGTATTGTCAGAACTTTAGCAAGTTAATTCTTATATTAATTTTCCAGAGAAATGAAACAAATACCCCTTAAAAGTATAAGAGTTTGAATTTTTAATCTTTACTCGTAATTAATACATTCTAAGTCAAATATCTATATTAACAAAATATTATTAATCAAAAGAGAGGCCAGGGTAAAAAATTTCAGACACATGCACTTATAAATAAATTCAACAATTATTTATTTATTTATTATTATCTATGTCTTGTATTTGATTCTTTTGTGGCGTTGGGTTTGTAGAGGCACAAGCATTTATTTATTAAATACATGTGGAGATATTATATTAGTATACGTTTTCGAGGGTGATTATTTTACCAATGATATATTCTATCCTTTATTTAGATTTTTTCCGACTCCTTGCTAAAGAACTCCTTCCTTCTACCATTTTTTATTTTTATTTTTGTGAGAGATGGCTTCAATACAAATTAATTGTGATAACTATGTTTTATTCTATGAGAATTTTTCTTTTATAACACTTTCAGTTGGTTTTTCTAGTGGCAAGTGTTTTTTCAATTTTATTCATTTATGTCCTTTAGGGTAAACTATAATTTTTTGATTTGTTTTTTGAATGGCTGTACTTTTTGATTTTATACTTAAAGAAAAGGGTTACTCTTTTATTATTACAATAATTTAAAATTAAAAACATTCCCCAATAATGAGAGTTTTTTGTTTCTCTTCTTTTCAGTTGTTTAGTTGAGAGTCAAACTAGAAGTTCCCACAACTTCTTTCATCAATATATATATATATATATA